CTTCGCCGCGAGACCGCGAAGGGGCGCGCGCCGCCATCCGCGGCGGTCGCCCGCGGAGCCGCGCGAACTCCAGGCAGCGCGAGACTTACCGCCAGCGAAGCCGCGCGAACGTTCGACCGCGCGGGACTTCGAGATCGGAAAGTCCCACGTAGCCAACATGGAGCTTTCAATTTTTGATACTTTTTTGATACTTTTTTGATACTTTTTTCCCCAAAACAACATGTGACTTTCAATTTTTGATACTTTTGATACTTTTGGTGTGTTTGGCGAAATTCGGCGAAAGTTCCGCGTCGACCCGCCGCATCTTCACTTGTCACTCTGACAGTCTCGGCGCACCCCACCACCCGCGTCACTCGGTGCGTTGCGCGGCGCCCCGCGCGGGGCGCGCCTGCGCGCTGTGCCTCTGCCACCCCCAAGGGCATCACGCGCGGTAGGATGCGCAGCTCTCGCAACCGCACCCCCCCCCCCCCCTTCCACCCCCCTCGCCGCCGCCGTCGGCAATCCCCCCCCCATCCAGTCGCCGCCAGCGGCAATCTACCCCCCCCCCCCCCCTTCCCAACCCCCACACCTTCCTCGCCAACGGCGATCTACCCCCCCCCCCCCCCTTCGCAAGCGGCGTTGGACCACCGACTCGGGCTTGCGACTTGGGCGGCGCGCTGCCCCGTGGCCGACCCAGGCTGGCCAACCAAATCGACGGGTCCAGCCGCCGTTGCCGCACATGGCTTGCGGAGTGCAGCGCGCAGCGCTCTCGGCGAGGCAACGCGCGCTCAAATTTTCGCGGCCCACAGGGCGCGCGCGACGCCCGGCCATTTTTTCGCGCCAGTGGGGAAAACAATGGGGCTGCCGCGCTTGAGTGTGGCACTGCGATCTGGCCCTGGGGGTCGCTTCGGCGTCGCCGCTGCGTCGCTTGCTATCGGCGCGCGTTTGCAGGTCGGGCGCAATCCGCCCAGCCGACGCGCCCGCCCGCGCGCGCCCGCTCGTCGCCGCCAACGGCCGCGCGGAGATCCATCGCGCGCGCGCGGCCGCCCCGTTCGTCCTCCGCGGCGCCGAGGACGGCCAGCGGTCGACCATCTCGCCGCTGGCGGCCGCCCGCCATCCAGGCCCCAGCGGGCAGGCATCGCAACTGCGATGCCGACTGGGCGATGCCGCCCTCGACGTCGGCGCAGCCGCAAACGCCAGGTCGCTCGCGCAGTCGCCGCCGCCCCCTCGAGGCGGGCCGCGGCCGCGGGGCGCGCCGCCGCGCGCTGGCGCGCAGGGCCGCGCCGCGCGGCGCGCCGCTGCGCGAGGGGGCGCCGCTGCCGCGTCTTCAGGGGCCGCCGTGGCCGCGTCGCTGCGACGGCGGGTCGGGGGGCGCATGAGTCGATCGGTTGCGCGTTTGGGGCCCAGCCGACGAGGCGCCGAATGATCTGGAGTGGCAACCAGCAGAAGAGGGGGCCCTGGCTCGGAACGGGTCGTCGACGAAGGCATGCACGCACATTGCAACTTTCGTTTAACTCAAGGCAAGATTTGGTGAGGCCCAGGGCCTGTTTCGAGTCAGGCCGAAAGCTTGCGCCAGCGCTGGCAAATTGGCTGCGCCCAGAACGCAGCGTCGGCGCGCCGCTGGCCGAATCCGACGCTTGCCAACGTCATTCGCGCAGTGGACTGGCATCGAAGCCGCATATGGAGAAGAGCGGGGCCAAATTCAAGCATCCGACGAAAGCATGCAACCACGCAGGTGTTCTTCTTGCAGTCGCAACAGACAAGGGCGCAGCTCGAATCCTGCTTGGGCACTGGCCGAGTATCTGCACCAGCGCAGGCGCATTGGCTGAAACCAGGGCAGGAACTGGGAGGAGCCCAGGGCCTACGTTCACGCCCGCCGAAAACCAAACAGATGCATCGCGCGCGCTGGCTGCGATGGGGGACAGATGAGGAGAAGGGCTGAGCTTCTTCAAACAACCGAGGGGGGCGCGAGCATGCATGGTCACGCGTCTGGAAAACATCGCAACCTGCGGAGAAGTTTAGAACTCAATTCGGCGCCCGCAGAAAAAAAACTTTCAACTAGACAAACGCACATGGCAAATTCAGAGCAACGTATAGCGGAGCTCTGTGCCCACTCCGACGAGCGCCGAGCACTTGCAGCTACGCGAGCACATTTGCCGAAACATCAACAAAACCACGAGGAGCTCAAGGAGGCGGCTCGCTGCGAGCCGAACGCAGACCAGCATTCCAACGCGTTGGCTGTGCTGGGGGCCGACGAAGGAGGAGGCCAGAGCTCGGTTAAAATAAACGATGAATGCGTGCGCACACATTGCTGCTCGACTTATACTCGACACCGACATTCCGCGGGGCTCACGCACCTAATTCGGCGCACCACCCCCCGCCGATCGCATGACGCAGGTGCGCGCGCATTGGCTTGCGCCATGGCGCAATATGGTGGAACCCCGTTGTTAATTCGACGCCCACCGACAAATTGCGCATGCCAGCGCACATAGACCGAAAACACAACAAAAAATGGGTGACAGCGGTGACAAATCCAGACAATTGACGAAGGCGTGCATGTACATGGCCACTCTGCTTACAGCCAAAGCGAAAACAAAAGCGCGTGGGTTCATGCCCCGCGTATAAAAAAAAGGTCTAAGTTTGTCTCATGCCGTTACCATGCAGTCAGTTACTAAGGGTGTATCATCTACCAATGACCATAACGTAATTTGTTTAAAAGAAAAGGCCAGGATACATGCGAAAAGCTTACTTCGCGAAGCATTTTTGTGTGTGTGTTTGGGCATGCGATCCGTAATCGTCGCTGTAATCAACCTATCACGTGCTATAACATACGACGCGCGCTATCCGCTGCGCCCTACGCCATCATCCCACATTTCGTAGATTGCCCACATCGATTCCGAAGCGTTCCCTGCACGGCCCCATCGCATCCATACGCATCGTACAAGGTTCCATGGCGCCCCTGCACAGTTCCCACACAGGGCCCGAATAGTTAATATACAGCATATCGCTGCTGGTTACATGTAGAAAGATGGGGTCGCGTTGTTTGGGGCCCGAGCTGGTGCACTAATCCTTCCTCGCCTGCTTCCGCGAGGTCCGAGCGGGCCGTGAGAAGCAGGGCGCGCCCGTGCATGTCCGCATGGTCTATCGTTCAGGTGTGCGCAGTCTTACGTGCAGTATAAAACAGAAGCCCTGGCAATGCATAGCTTGCGCGGGGCAAAGTTCTGGAATGTGAGCGCGGGCCCTTGTGTTTCTGGATTCAAACCCACGAGGTTCCAGTGGCCAGCGTCCCAGCGCCCAGAAAATATGAATCGAGTTTTCCACATGTTTCAAGCGTTAATGTGTCTTCTCGCGATGTCCTCATGTGGTCGCCGTTTCCTGCTGCAAGGGTCCTCGAGGTTTTCTGCGCCCTCGCGAGATCCACGGTGATGGCGAAGCGCGGCCATGATAGGCATGGTCGCGGGCGCGGCGCTGGCGGGTGCCAGAAGAAGCCAAAGCACGTTCATGCTCAGGAGGCCGATCAGACGCAAGAGAGCATAGCTGCTGCCGCCTCGGCGTCGGGCCCCTCGATGTCGAAGGCGTTGCCGCCGAGCAGAAAAGGCAGAGGCGCAACCTTGCGCTGCTGCGCTATTTGCGATGGCAACAGCAAGGATTGCGTCTCGAATAATATTGCAGCCCATGTGTCTTCTGTTGTCCCACGGCCCCTGGTCCGCATTTTTTCCGACAGGAAATGCAGGCGTTCCGGAACGATTGGGGGCCGTCGGGCGCCCATCGTTGTGTTTGTTCGCTGGTTTATCACTGCCGAGGACAAGACCATGTACGACCCCGAGACGTCCGACCCCCTCACGTGCATGGAGGGCTGCACGGCCGTCGTATGCGAGGAGTGCGCTGCGTTCGTCGAGAAGCACATGCCAGGCTTGGGGCGCTCGCCCAACGCTCGGCGCATGATTCCAGACCCCCGCCCGTGCAAGAGGCCCCTCGCATCATTATTAATTTAGCATGGTGGTCAATTGGGGAGATGAGGGATGGCGGAGGGGGGCGGGCTGGGCAGGACTTCGAAAGTAAGGCGGAGGAGGAATGGCAAACAAGGTCACTCGGATCAGGGCGGAAGCCCAACGAATGAGACGGGGAGGGGGAGGATGGCAGTGGGAGGGGTCAGACCGCGAGGAGGCAGGATGGGGGCGAAGCGTCGACCCCTAAATTATTGCACTTGCGAGGCCTCGTATAACGGGGGGGGCCTCGAATGTGAAGCGCGTGGGGGTTGGGGCGATCGGCAGGCTACACAGTGGAGCTCGTGGTGGCCGATCGGGCCGAGAGCGCGGCTCTCGCGACGTGCATGGACGAGGGCCTGCTCATGGACCAGGGCAAACCAGTTCTGGAGGTCAAGGCCACCGCGGAGGCGGCCTGCATGGCCATCATCGACGAGAGCTACATCGTGCTCACCCCCTGGCAAATCATGCAGCGCTACAAGAAGACTGCGAAGACGCTGCGCCTGAAGGGGATCAAGCTGCCCAACTACCAGAGGAAGGGTGATTTCACGGTCTTCTACCCCTTCAAGAACCCAGACCAGCCGTACAAGATTCTTCGGTTGCAGTCCTTGGTTTCTGCCGTGGCCTCGCGCGCCCACAAGGGGAACGTGCCGCCAGTCTTCGAGCAGCAACTTCCCTCAGTGCTGAAGGGCATGCACCGTGCGGTGCTTACTGGTACACAGACGTCAGCCTTGGTGCGACTGCCAACCCTGGAGGATTTGGATCGCCGCCTGGCGAGGCAAGATGGCCTGAAGACAGGAGACGGAGATGATGATGATGATGATGCAGTTCCAGGGGGCTTCGACGATGACGGTGGCGACTTCGCCGACGACGCCGAAGGTGAAGAATCCGAGGAGGAGGGGCGGGACCATGGCGACGAGCCAGGGGACCCTGATGACCAGATGCTGAGCTCCACTCGCAAGAAGCCAGCTGCGCGGCGCGTCGACGACGACGGCGAGCCCGAGAACGTGGTCCCCCGTCGCTCCCCTACGCCAGGATCGAAGATGCCCAGGACCCCTTCATCGACAGAGTTCAAGAGGTCAGGTTCGTCTGGGCTCGGGTTGAAGCTGCCCCCCAGTATCGAGGATACGCACATCGACATGAGCATCGAGAAGGGCACGCCTGAGTATTGGATCATACGGATGCCCCTTCGACAAGTGGCCGCGGGCTCCAAGCTCGGCAGCCAGTACAACCAAGCGAGGCTACTGTACAACAAACTTCCACCAGGAGATGATCGGAATCGACTGGGTGCGCATATGGGGCTCTACGATAAGGCAATGCAGTTTGTCCCAGGCGCCATGGAGAAGCTCAGCGACTCCGAGTTCGAGTTGTACTGCCAGGAGTTCGATAAGGCAGGCGTGATCTTCCTACCAGTGACCCACATGGAGATCTTTCGCAGGTCGGCCAAACCATTGTGGGAAGCATTCGAGAAGGACCCGACGTCACCTCATAGCCACCACCAGCTCCAGAAGGTTCTCCGCATGACGCAGATCTGGACTGTCGAGAGTGAGCAGGCCAGCCCCTTCTCGTGGAAGAAGCCAGCTCTCGCAGATATCAGCTTCAACGTGGCCTCCGACATGGATGATGCGTTCCTCAGCATGGTCTTCGGCGAGCGCATCGTCGCTTGGATTGGGGCGGGGGAGAGCAAGGAGGTGCTGATCAGCGAGTTCGCGCTGGTCGCAGCAAAGGCTTGGGATTTGCCAGACGATGCAGTCATTGAGAATACGTCTGCTCAGCTGTTGGTAGATGCGACTCGCGTCATCAGAGTCTTGAGGTACATCAGCGACCAGAACATCACCCACGAGACTGACGTAGCTGTCTTCGATGACGTGGCGGCCTTGGAGGAGGCAGCCTACAAGACGACAAAGAAGAAGAACCTCATGATCATGGTGGGGGCTGCCGTGCACGAGAATACCATGTGGAAGGCGCGTTTGCAGATTGCCACGAGGAGGAACGATCAAATGAAGATGCACGCCCCGAAAATCACGAAGCTGTTGACGGACCTTCGCGCGCATGAGGTGCCCGCCCCGACGAAGGAGCTGCGTGACCTGATCAAATCGTCTCTCGATGACCTGCCCTACTTGCGCACCGCTTTGGTGGAGGGCGCCGCTGACGAGCTTGAGAGCGTGACGGTGGACACGTTGCACAAGGCACTTGGGAAGTGGACTGACACGGGCCCTGAGGCCGCTGCGGTTGCGCCGAGCACCGCGGAGGATAATGAGTTGTTGGTCTCTTTCAGGAGGTTGGCAGTCGCTGGATCTGAGCAGCGCCCAGCCTACGAGAACTTGAAGCGAGACATTGACAGCCTGAACCGGATCATCGGCAACGTCGCTGCCGTTGCCAAGATAGGCAACATCAAGGTGTTCATCGCCCGTGCCAACGCCGACGAAAAGATCAGCATCAAAGACTTCAAGGAGCTGGCGGGCGGTGTGAATGCAGATTTGTTGACTCCAGCTGACCACGCCCACATGCTGGCCACGTTCGCTGCCCACATCTCCCTTGGAGAATGACTTCCAGCCTGCGTCGAATCGCGAGCCTCCCGATGCGAACTTGGACTTTGAGGAGGTGGTGTCCACGTTCGTCGCCAAGGACGTCAAGAAGGATGTGGCCACGTTCCTTGCATCCGCGAGGGCAGTGCTCAAGTTGCAGCGCTCGTACCTTGCCCTGAATGCGAAGGTGGTCGACAACAGCGACGAGCTTGCTGCAGATGGCCCTGAGAGGCAGGCCGCGCACGTGAAGAAGGAGCTGGCCAAGACCATCAAACAGTTGAAAGCACCGCTCTCCGACGTGATCCAGCCAGGCTTGGCATTGCACTTTTCCGACACGGCCCATGAGGTGTTGGCAAATGCTAAGGGCCGCTACATGGACGTGGCCTTGTCGTGCCTGGAGAAGCGTGCGTCAATTTTGAAGGAGAGCATTGATGTCGCGAAGAAGCACAGCACGGAGAATGCTCAGCTGGGCCATTGGATTACCAGGTCAACGTCCGAGTGGCACGAGATCAAGGACCTGGCGAAGGAGCACATCGAGACCTTCGACGGGGACATCATCATCGAGAAGGTGATTCAGGTCGAGCAGGCTGGCAATTCCGAAATGTTTTCTTCTCCTTCATCCTCTACCCTCCTCCTCCTCCTCCTCCTTCACACCTCCGCTCTCGTCCTTCTTCTGCTACCCGAGAAGGGCTTCCCTATGGGGTTGCCCATCTAGCCCAGCACTTGGAGAATATATCAACTGGCCCCAGGCCCGTCCGCGAATCTGACCGTGCACGGGCAGGGTCGTCCCATGGCTGATGCCATGGCATATGGGTGCTTCCATATCTCCTGACAGGGTAGTCCGTGGGGGAAGTGTAATAGTCGCAGCGGTAGTAGCAGTAGTAATAGTAGTAGCAGTAGTAGTAGTAGTAGTAGTAGTGGTAGTCGTAGTAGTAGCAGTAGTTGTTGTTGTAGTAGTAGGAGTAGCAGCAGGGTTGTACTAATGGTGGTAGTAGTAGACATAGTAGTATGCATCGTAGTAGCAGTAGTAGTGGCAATATTGCTCGCAGTAGTGGTGATCCGCGTTGCAGTGCTTCCAGTAAAGATGCAGCTGCGCCTGCTTCCTTATCGTCTAGAGTTCTAGGGGGCTGTCGCTCATATATAGTCCCCCTCACCCCCCAGTCAGCCAATTATCCCTCGTGCCCCCCCCCTCCCCATACACCCCCCCCGCGCTTCCAGCAGGCGGACGTATCGATGCAGGAGTACGCCGACGAGATGGGCCTCAAGTGCGACTCCGAGCTGAGGCAGAGCGCGAAGTCCGCCATGACGAGTGCGGCCAGCCTCGCCTGCGAGATACAGCTCATGCAGGCGTTCATCAACATCAAGGGCAAGGACAAGGTGTGGCTGCGGGGCCAGTGCGTGCTGGTGCAGAAGGAGCTCGCCAAGTGGAAGGTCGTGCCCGCCATGATGGACGCGACGATCATCGAGAAGTACCGCTCGGCCCTGAAGTTGCAGGCTGTTTGAGTCGCCTCGTGGAGAGGCGCGAGGCGGCGACTGCCCGCCCTCCCTAGGTGCGCGCCGCCTGGAGATGGCGCGACACAGTTAGGAGAGAAACGGTTGGGAAAACACAATGAGCCCATGTGTCATCGCACAGCTCTGAGTCTAAGATGGCGAGCAGGTCGGCGGAAAGGGTCAGTGGAAATTTCGGCGGATGCATTCAGGTGGTCAATCCGCCGTCCGCCCCTCACGTTTGTGTATGTAGAGGGCTTCGTTTCTATGGCGCGTGCATGTGCGCTCGCACATGGGCGCGAGGTCTAATCGCCCGGAGGCAGTGCGAGTCAGGGGGGGGGAAAGAGGAAGAGAGCGAGGAGGGGGGGGGCTAGTTCGTGGCAAATACTAGATGGGAGAGCGGAGGAGGCGAAATCTTGGAGGTGGGCGGGAGGGGAGGAGGAAACGAAAAACGGAGGGGAAGGGTGAAGGAGCCAGAGCCTCCAGGATCCAGCATTAGGGAGCAAGCAATCTCCAGGATCTAGAGCCTCCAGGTTCAAGCATCCAGGATCAAGCATTGAGGATCCACAGCATCCAGGATCAAGAGGGCCCCCCCTGCCCCTCAGGACCCAGAGCCTCCAGGATCTCAGGCCTGAAAGGATCCAGGATTTCAGGCCTCATGGATCCAGATACTCCAGGATCGAGCCTCCCTGGCCTCCCCCTCCAGAGCCTCCAGGATCAAGCAGCAAGGATCCAGCCCTTCGCTCTCTGAGATTTTCTGGCCCCACTCCCTTTTTCAGATCACCCAGCGTGGTCCCATGGCCGCCGCTGCAGAAGAAGCTGCGCCTGTTCTTCCCGAGGCGGAGGCCGGAGGCGTTGTCGGGGGCCACAACGACAGGGTCGACCCGCCGTCCAAGCGCGCGCTCAAGGCCTTCGACCTGAAGATGGCCGTCTCCGACGCGACGAAGGACATGCACGGATTTCCAGAGCCGAAGGTTCTGGACGATTGAAAGATCACCCTCGGCTCCGAGGTACTCCAGTCGACTGGAAGGCGCCCCCGCCGATTCGCGGGGCGCCTTCCAGTCGACTGGAGCGCCTGGGGTCTACGGGCATCCATTCAATGTCCCAGGTTTCGTTCGGCGACGTATCGAGGGTGCTGGCGGCGCTCAATTTTGTCTGCATCGCCCAGCTCCAGAGGAGGAAGGTGGTGCAGATCCCAGGGCTCGTCACGATCAAGGCGAAGAAGCACGACCCGACGCCGTCCAAGATCGTCGTGGACATTGTTTTTTTTTTTGTTGTTGTTGGTGTTGTTGTTTCGGGTTTGCACTCGCACCTCACGTTTCATCTCTCACCGCTCACTCCTCACCTCGCAATTCGCACCTCTCACCTTCGCACTTCTCGCCGCTCGCCTCGCACCCCTTACCTCGCGAGTCTCGCCCGTCGCTTCTCGCCCTCGTCTTAACTTCTGATGTTCCCAACCTCGACGTTCGCCCCTCCCTTGTCTCGCCCGTCACTTCAGACCATTCACCTCCTCGCCTCCTGCCTCTTCCTGACCTCGCCTATCACGTCCAACCCATCGCCTCCCGCCCCCCCTTCACCTCGTCAGGGGGGAGGGGGAGGTGCAAGCTAGGTGCGCCCGCCCCAAATCTGACATCCACCCTCCCTCCCATCTCTTCCCATTGCGCGTATTCGTTTCCACTAGGGCCCTCCCTCCCATCCCTTCCCATTGCGCTGGCGGGTAGAGTTTACCTGCCAGCTGAAAGAAATCCCAGATTCGGGGCAGGCGGCTCCGCGTCGCAGCCCGCGACAAACACCTCGTGACGGTCGCGAAGCCCCACAGGGATATCAAGCGCCTCGTCGACGACGACGAGCCCAACCAGCCGATTGCTGCGCAGGACGGCGTCGACGACGAGGCGCTGAACTCAGACGAGCTGGGCTCGAGTGAGGAGTAGGCATGCACCCATGGCCGAGTGCCGTCGGCGTCGGACCCACTGAGGACGGGGAGAATGAGGATAAGGAGGACGAGAATGAGGAGGGAAGGATGAGGAAGAGGACGACGCCGAGGCGTAGTCTCAGTCGTTTTTTTTTTCCCAGTTGGCGGCCGCCGCCGCCGCCGCCGCCAGTTGGCGGCCGCCGCCGCCAGATCGCGCCTGCCCCTGCGGGATAAGGAGGGGGAAAACGACGAGGAAGGCAGAGGAGGACGGAGGAGGACATAGGGAGGAGTAAAACAGAGGAGGACGGAGGAGGTTGGAGGAGTCCCGCTGGCGAGCGGAATCCAGCTCGTCTGCAGCGTCGCCGCCGCGTCGGCACGAGGAGGCGCGAGGGCGCCAGGACATGAAGCATCGGCCTGGACGTCCGTATCCCTCCGTCCTGTTAAAGGTCCTCCACCCCCGTCCTCGTCGTCGTCACCGTCGCCCTCCGCCCCTTCTCCCCCCTCCTCATGTGGGCCCATTTGGGGCCCTCCTGGTGCACGGACGTAGTTCAGGAACTGATGACCTCCCGCAGGATCCCCCTGCATATTCTTGAAGCGTGCGATTTTGAATAGTTTTCTGAGCGATTTTTGAGGCTTTTGATTTTGAGGCACGTTTCACTTTTTGGAGCGATTCCATGGTTTTCAGGATCCACACAGCCTAGCGGGCTCGGCCGATTATGGGTCTAACAAGGTTTTGCTTTCGGATCGGCTCAAATGGGCCGAAGATATTTGCAGGTGACGTCCGCCTGTAGTCAGCGCGTCGATCTTTGTTCATTTAAATCTCAGGAGCTGGTCGCTCGGGTTCTCCCTCCATCCTACTTTCCAGACTTTCCTTGCCATTGCATTTGGGAGTTCTGCGACTGGGAGTCTCCAGCGGGTCACGCGGTATGCCACTCGCGCACGGACGTGTCAGGCCGCTGGGCCGATTTGCAGGTGACCTCCGCCTGCAGACAGCATCGCCTGTGCTGACCAACAACCGGGTATAGCCAGGACCCCGGGTAAGGGGGCCCGATTAGGGCCCCAGAGCCCCTAAATTGGCCAGGATCACTAAACCAGGTCTGCCGTAGCTGGTGTTTTTTTTTCGGGTGACGGCAGGTCTGGTTAGTGGAACGGGGCTGGGGGGGGGGCGTCCCCAGTACACATCACTAAACCAGGTCCCACTAAACCCAGTTCTGCCAAAGCCCGAAACAAGGGTTTGCTCTCATACTGGCCAAAATGGAATGGGCCGAAGAGATTAGCAGGCGCGTGTAGTCAGCGCAGCGATTTTCGCCCTCAGGGGCTGATTGCTCGTGTCCTCTCTCCATCCCACTTTCCAGAACCTCCTTGCCATTTCATGGGATTGTTCTGCGACGGGGAGTCTTCAGCGGATCACTCGGTATGCCACTCGCGCGCGGACGTGTCAGGATGCTGGGCCCGTTTGCAGGTGACCTCCGCTGCAGATGGCATCGCTTGTGCAGACGGCTCCCAGGCCGCAGAACCGCAGAGACCAATGATATTCCGCGCCAAGCAGAGCCCCAAGACCGTAAACGTCATTCGACAATGTTCTTCCAAAGTCCCTCGAGACGGCCCCAGGACCGTGATTGCGGAATTTGCCGTAAGCAGCAGCGAGGGACGGAGGGCTTCGGAGGCGCGGCGGGAGGGATGGTGGATCGAAGGGAGGGAGAGAAAGAGAAGGAACGGAAGGAGGAAGAAAGGGTGGAAAGGGAATGGATGAATTTGTGCGTCGGAGAATGCAGGATAAGCGGCGATAGGTATGTGCTGCACGTTGCATGCGTAGGGGCAAGCAGGGGGGACAACTTTCGCTTAGTGTTCGAACGCTGTGTTGTTCATGACGCGCCTCTGGTTCGCACTCGTCTCTCCGAGGGTGCGCACTGTGGGATATAGCCGCAGTTGCCAGAAACTGAGCGCGAGAAGCGCGCCTGGTTCATCTATTTATGTATGTATGTATGTATATATATACACACTGAAATCACGAGTGAGAGAGACATAACTCGCGAGACAATATTTCCTTAGGGTATACATATGCCACCCATACAAAGTATGAACTCGCGAGTTGATTCTTCTGTTTATGTGATCTATATTTATGGAATTATTGCAATACCGTATTAAAAGAAGGATCGGACATTCTGTATTCCGGGTCGCTTCCG